CCATGTGTCTCTGTTCCCAGGTCTTCTCACCCCACACCTCAAATTTAGTGCTTCATGCATGAATGGATGAATGTGTCAATCGATAACAGAAAAATAAGGGAGACAGCTATAAATAGGAACTGTTAGGTTATGATAGTAAAGGGTCCACAGAAGGGGAACATGGACTGGTCCATATGATGTAATAAGAATGATATTTTTAATAAACATCATTAAAAGTCTTCATGTATAACATTAATTTGATCTTATACGTCAGAGTCATTCATAGCCAAGCCTTAAGAATAACATGTCAATAAGCCTAGCTTATTGGAAGTGTGAATGAAAAGTAATGAAAATGGATTGAACTTTACAACATTATGGTTGTGCATTTTTCTTTTTTTTCTTTTTGAGCTTTAATTTTGGACAGAGTAGCCGCAGCATCCACTTTGTGAGAAAATGTTAATAATAAATTTACTGAACAGCAATTTATTTTATTTACGGCTTAAACAACTGACTAATGCACTCATACCTTAGAGGCACCATTCATAGGGTGTGTTTTTTTATTACCCTACCTTTTGCCTTTGAAGTGATCAACTATACATAGTGAATTTCTTAGAATTAACTGAATTGACTTAAATGCTAGAGGGGCAATGGGCTTTAAAAAAGGGAGGAGAGGGCAGACAAACTATTTGAAATATTAGAAAATAGATTGTAATTTCTAATTAATTTGTAAGATCCAAGAAAAGTAGACTAAAGATCCAGTAAGTCGCGGTGGAACATAAAGATGGCTTTTTAAAAATCCTAAACTGGTCTCCTTTTACCAGAAGAGGATTCCATTCCCTCACTTTTCTGAATGTTCTGTTTTAGGAAGTTCAGCCAGAACCTGGTCGCTCAGCTTTGGTACTTTGTGAAGTGTGTGTACTTCGGGTTGTCTGCCTACCAAATCCGCTGTGGCTACCCAACACGAGTGCTCGGAAACTTCCTCACAAAGAGCTACAATTACGTCAACCTCTTCCTGTTTCAAGGGTAAGGACACAGGCTGTGTGCCATAGCCGCTCACAGAGGGGAGGCTGCCAAGTGAAAGGCATTCTGCTTCCTACCTGGGAGGGAACAGGAAGAGGAAGAGTGCTGATGTACAGGAATGTAGATCATCACAAAACTCTTACAGTATTTAGCAAAAGAACAGATATGCTCCTTGAAATACCTCTCTGTGTGTAGTTGCCACTCACCTCGCCAGGATGCTGTTCTAGGATCATCCACAGGGGTTAATTTTCTATTTCTATATCCTGCATAATTACTGTGATAATATTTTGGGATTCATGATCCTTAAGTATAAATATATTTCTGGGCACAATGAAATGGAATATTTGGAACCTAGACTATTCCTAAATACCTTTGGAATTTTGCATGTACAATAAGTCCATCCATTGAATAGGCCATTTATTCCCCCTAACTTCAGTGGGAACGCCACGTGACTTGCTTATTCCTGGTAGTAAGTTAGCTGCCGAAGGAAGCACATTACTCTTCCATGTGAGAATTTTATTGGTTGCATCTCCTCTCTGTTTGCTCAGAAAGCAGACGTAAAAATCAGACTGACTGCATAAAAAGTCAGTCTGCTCCTGGCACAGCTGGCTCCTACTTAGCACCAAACCTGGGGGCTAGGGACTTGGTCATAAAAGCGGTATTGAGCATGCTCAGATGTTAGGAACCTCCAGTGTGGAACAGTGTTTCACTTAGTGCCATCCTGTACGGGACTGATATTTCTTCCCTGTGTTGAATTAGTGCCCTCTGGACAAAGCTGTGTAGCCCACAGGAGAATACCAAGCAGTAACCCAAGCTGTTGTGAGGGCTGTGGAATGAACCTAGACCCTCCAGCCTGGGAGAAGCTGTCAGTCAAGAAACAGGGGGCAGTCCCCAGACCTGATAGGAGCCCAGGCCAACCTATTCCCAAATGAAATATAAGAGACTGAGCCAGAGTCCTGTTGGCCTTAGTCATCTAGTAAGTCTACTGTGTGACCCCAAAGACATGTCCTGTTTCCTCTGATGGCTGTCATATGCCCTGATTTGTCACTTCCAAGGTGTATTAACTTTCCAAGCTCATTCAACAACAAAGCCCCAACAATTCAATAAGCCTGTGACCAACAGATTACTGTAGCATGAACAAATAAATTCTTACAAAAGCTAAATTATAGATATTTGCAGATATCATTTTATATAGAGAAAATCCTAAAGACTTGGCCCCCAAAACTTGAGAACTAATCAATGAATTCAGTAAAGTCGCAGGATATAAAATCAACATACAGAAATCAGTTGTGTTTCAACCACTAACAAATAAAACACATAAGTAAGAAATAAAGAAAACTATCTCATTCACAGTAGCATCAAAAACAATTTTAAAATACCTTGGGATGCATTTAACCAAGAAAGAAAAATGTCTGT